AAGAAAATGGTTATTGTTTCAGCCACTTACTTCTGGGGGAACTAGTTACACAGAAATCATAGCTAGAAATGTTAAGATTCTTCGTCTTTTCTTTTTCTGTGTCTTTAAAAATATATTTCTTACTGAAGTGAGTCAATAACTTCTTAGATCAAGAGGAAATGATAGCTAGTTTATCTGAGATTCTGAGATTTTATGCAAGGAACAGAACAGTAGATCAGCTGCGTATCTAAACATTAGCATCCTGTGTACTTGTACAAAATGAAATGGGCCGTAGGTAACATGGTAGGAGGGAGATGAAGTGAAGCTGAAGGACCGATACATGGTTTTCTGGTCTTGCCCAACTAAAAGTAACACAAATCAGGCAAGCGACAGAGCTATAAAGATGCAGAAAATACATAACACTCCTGCAGATGAAAATGATCAACACCCTTTGAACCCTTCAGCTCTGGCTTTGAGAAAGGGGGAGCGGGGTTCTTCTGGGCATCGTACCTCAAGCAGGTGAATACTTAAGCCAATATTAACAGACACTGGAACAAAATCAGTTTTAAGCGGTCATCAAACATGACGTCTCTTCTGAAACATCAGGTAAAGCATGTGGTACAAGAAATACATCTTCTGGGAAACGGCATTAGCCTCGGGAGGAACAGCCCGGGAGTCCAGGCCAACGGAATACCCGCATTTCAGCCCGAAGTGAACAGGCTGGCCTCATAAATCCTGGCGGGTCATAAATTCCTCATTACCGAGTTTTTAATTTTGGCTGCTCTCTGGGGTAGGTAACTGAAGTATTTTTTTAATGAGGGACAGGGTGGTCTTGCAAATCTGCCCTGCCTGGAAAGACAACGGACTTGGTTCGGTTGTGAAGTCATTCCCAGCCTTACCCCCTCCCCGCAGAATCTCTAGTCGGTGTTTAATTATCTTCTGATCTTGGGTGTTGCAGAAAAGTCTAAAGCCATTGGGCTTTTATTCTTGAAAGGTAACTTGCTTCGCTTTGCCTCGATGCTCCTAAGATCTGTTTCCTATATCCTTGTAATATAAAAATGTTGCCATCAGTTTTTCTTGGGATATGGTGCACTCTTTGGGTCTGTGTTTTCAAGTACTTTTCAACTCAGGACACACTTGGTATATCTATCAAGTCTCTAGTTGGTGTTTCCCATGGGAACGTGGGTCTCACGTTCAATTTTGTCCCCTCCCCTGTATGTCCATCGTCTTCCACGCTGGGTCAGCGTCATTAACCCTTTCCTCTAGGTCCCGGGAGCGTTTCTCTGGATGGCTCTCTAAATCACCGATTTGACCTTCAACAACGTTCTCTAGAATGTGGATCTGAACTCCGTTGTTGCATCTTTAGCTCCTTTGAATCCTGTATTTCTTGATCCTCTCTGCCTCATGTTCTGAGGCAGACACACTGAGCTCTCAGTTCCTCCAAGTGCTGGGCACCCCCTCACCTGTAGGGCTTCACACACGGTATCTTTCCCCCCAAACTCATGTCCCCCTCACTTCGTCTGTGGGCAAACTCCCACAATGTCGGGCGATTTGCGCTCCAGCACCCTTCCACACAGGAAGCTCGCCATCACCCCAGCGTGGGCTAGAGGTGCTTGTGCATCTCCTACGCGCCCTGTCCCGCCCTATCATCACACACGTCACGCTGGGCCGGAGTACCTGTCCCCTGTCTGGCGACCCCATGAGCCTCCCGAGGGCCAGAACCACGGTGATTGTATCTGTCATTCTATTCTCAGCCCGGCACGATTCTTGACGCTCGGAAGTATTTTCACCCATAATGCCACTCCCTTTCAGCCACAGCTGATTGTCTGTTTCACTCTCGAGAATTCTCCCCCTCACGGCTTTCTGCTCTCACTCGTGGGCAGGTGGGTTGTGCTTCTAGGGATGCCAGTTCCGCTCCTTGGGATCCGTCTTCCTCTGTCCAGATGCATGCTCCCTTCCTCCGCTCTGACAGCAGCACGCGTTCATGGCTTTCACGTTTCTCCCCTTCCTCCACCTCCCCCTGCCCACCCCCCTCATCCTCCAATAAGAGAAATGAACCCCGACCTGGTAGCTGCCAACAAACACAGCATCATAATTGCTCTGGGCCCCACTCTTTGTCTGCCCGGCTGCATTTTAAATCTTCTCAAGCTAAAGCACAGACTGCTGGTCACCCTCCTGTCCCCTCCCCCTGGCCTACATCTCCTAGACAGGTAAGGGACTTCCCGTTTCTGTCAGTAGCATTTTAAAACTGGAGTCCCGACCCTTCCTTTCTAAACAAATCTCAGGGTCAAAGACATCTTGGAATGCTTTTGGAAAGAATCCTTGAACCCACCTTAGAAGCCCTAGTTATGTCCTGTGTATTATACTTGTTTCTTATCAGAGAAACCTGAAGATTTAAGAACACTCCCAGCTGAGACATATATATAATCAAGTGCAGTTTCACCGATGTTACAATGTTTCCTGACAGCACTTAGCTGCATGGAGAGGATGGAGCCGCCCGCCTCGCTCCAAGGAGAGCGAATCGTCTCTACTTTCCAGACGGTTCCCTGCTGGCAGGCAGGGGGCTCACTGCGGATGTCTCCTCTCCCGGGTTCCAACATAATCTCTGGGCTGGGAAGAGATTCCATCCATTCAGTACAAGAAAGTTTACTTAAAAACTTGCTTCTGCTTCTGGCTAAGGGAATTCAGGGCAGGAGAATTTATTTTCAGATAAAATCTCCCAGATAACTAACGTCACTTGTGACTGATCAATGCAGATGCAGAAAAATCAGTAATGGTGCTATTTAAAGGGGGGTTTGTAAAAAAGCAATTAATGCATTTGTTAGGGTTTAAAAGAAGTTCACTTACATTTAACTTACGTGTAACTGGCAAGTGAGCCTCAGAATATGGTGATATACGCTCCTGAAGAGTTATATAAAAATAGGTTTAGAATTAACATATGTTCCAGATCAGATGCCTTTTAAAAGAATACCATGTGAAATGTTTTAAATGAAGGTTTGTAAAAAAGTTCATACCCATGGTTTTATGGTAAATTTTCATTTTTCAATCTCTGATTTCTTTATGAAGAAGAAGATAATGGAATACTGTCTAATTTTTTTTTTAAATAAAGACATGCAGACCCAAAGATATTAGACTGATCATTGGGGTTTTACTTTTTTTAATTTGAAGGTTAGTAATAACCTATGGTGGCTTTCATAAATTAGTATTTTCCTCACCAAAATCAGGGTGATTTTATAGCACTTATTTCTCCAGCTCTATCTTCTTGACCTACAGGATGACGTCATGTGGACGCCCTACCACCTTCACAGTATCGGAATGTTGCCTAATTTGCGGAGGAGGCAAGTTGGAGCCAGAGAGTAAAGACCTCGAAGCTGAAAAGAAAGTTGGGGGCCACTCACACTGGTGTCACACAAATGGTGATTCCAGGGGTGCCTGAAGCCCGCTGTCCCCACGACACTGTCATTCCTGAAGTCACATGAACTACCCTGATACGTTTCAAAACATTCTCTTCTTGCCAAGCAAGTTCGGGTGGTTTCTACCATTTATAACTGAGAGCCTCCACCAGTACAACTGTTGAATAGAATAGCTATCTAGCTCTAGAGTTGTGCATAATTTTCATAAAATTGTTCTAAATCTTGTATGTCCATAAGACAATTTTCTAAACACTCTTATGTACATTAGTTCTTTTGATAGGCACAAATAACTGGGTAGTACTGGTAAAGCAGCATCTATTATGTGCTATTTTATTGATAAAATAACAAAAATGTTGTCTTTGTCAATTAAACAAAGGATCGTTTAAATTTCACCTGCAGTCACACAGCTCGCAAAGTGCAAACCTGTAGTTAACTCCAGTCCCTGACCCCAGATCCAGTGCCCTAAACTCTCCACCCCGGTCTGGCCTGCGCATCCCTAGCCTAGGGCTCCAGGCGTCCCTTTACACCTGCGTACACCTGGCAAACGCTCTGGCTCCTGAAAGGAAATCTTTCGGCAGTGTAAATAAACTACCTTCTCGTTGGTCTACTTGTGCTGCAATTATTTTACTTACTAAACACTAACGAAGAACCAGTGACACCTTGTGGCAGAAACTCATATAAATTCATGTGCAACTACGACCACCCATGTTCAGCTGAAAGGCTGCTCCAGAGACCGTAGGCACTTCACTAAGTAGCGGAGACAAAAGCAAAACTCCGGGGAAGAATAATCTATGGTTATAGATTCTCCTCCTCATAATTAGATCTTTCAGGAAAACCTGTACTTCCCTTACACAAACAATACTGTTAACGCTGCTAATAGGAACACCAAAGTCTCCGCCTACGTTTTTTGGTACAGACCCACCCCCCGATTTACAATTCTTCAGAGCCTGGTGTCTAACCGATGAAGGTATAGGGGCCTAAAAGAAAGACTCAACGAAGCGCCCACCCCAGTCCCAATATTACATCTGAGGGGCGGCCCGTGTCGCTCTGGTCCTGCGAGGTGCCAGCAACAGAGCAGTAAGCAGAAGAGAAAGGCGAGAAGCGCAGGCCAGGCTGCGGAGCGCGGCGGCAGCCCGCCCGGGGTCGGGAGAGGTGACGCTGCTGGGAGACGCCGGGGAATCCATGACGGGGCCCGGGCACGTAACAGAGCTGGGAGCCCGGGTGCCCCGCGTGAGCGATCGATCGTGCGTGAGCCGCCTGGGGCAGCGACGCAGCATCAAGGCAGCGGGAAAAACAACCGGGGAGATCCCCTAAGGAGCGGGAGCATGTGGTCCTTGGGGAATGGCGCCAGCACCAGCCCCGATTGCCACGCTCCAAAGTGCCGCTGGGGATTGCAGCCTCGCTCCCCAAAGGCACCGCAGGGGCTGCCACGCCCCCCTTCCTGCTCAGAGAACTGCTAACGCGCAGGCGCTTCTGCCGAGGAGGAGCGGCTGGGCGGGGCAAGGGTCGGGAGTGCGCATGCCCCGGGGCCTTTTCACGAAACCAGCCTTCGGAACTGCCAGGAGGTCCCGCCCCCAGGCGGAACTCGGGGTTGCTGGGCAACCGGTGGCGGCACCGCGGGCAAGCTCTGTGCTCCCTAGAGCGAGCCCAGGGTAGCTCCCACTTCTACACCCGGCCACTTCCCGTCCCGCCGGCTTCCTCTCTTGCCGCCCCTCCTCGCGCCCCGGAATCCCTGCCCTTGGCACAAAGGAAACCTCTCCGGCTGCCACGACGCCTTTGCGCCCATCAGCGTCGAAGCCAAATTCCATCAAAGGCGAAGTGCTTCCACCCCAGACGGGGCCTCCACGTTGACTGGCCGCGCCTCTCGGACCATGAGCACCTACACCTACACCTTCACCAGCCGGCCCCGGGTCCTGCCGTGCCAGCGCCGCCGTTACCGGGACAGCCTGGTGCAGCCGTGAGTGAGCCACCAGCCCCTGTGTGTCTCCACCTGTCCCCTCCATCCTGGCCCCTTCGCCCTCGTGAAACCTGCCGAGGCTGCTTTCCCTTCTCTACACGCTGCCGAAATAAAATTTCTTCCCTAAAGAACTCTCTCGTGGTGAGAAGGAATGAAGGCAGAAGGGGCCGGGGTGGCCTCCCGTAGTTAATTGTTAGGGATAATGAATTGCTGACTTGACTTCACTGAGTGTGAGTCAGCGTATGTTTATCGTTGGCCAGCTGTGTCAAGCACCCTCCTGGGGGCGTTTACATACATTTTCTTACCGAGTCCACAGGGGCTGTGAATTTGGTTTTATAACTCCCTTAGGCAAGTAAGAAAACAGGTACAAAAAGTGTCACGCTCAGGAATCACATGTCCAACATGGGAGCCGGGCCAGTCTTTGGTTAAGAATCAGGCGATCCTTTCTTGGTGGACCCCAAACTGTGTTTTCACATTAATGAGTATTTGCGAATATCCAAATATCCATGTCTAGAAAGGACCGTCATCTTTATGGTTCTCTTGAAGTTCTTTCCAAGAATCTCAAATTTTGGACTCGGCAGAACTTCCCAGGCATGAAGGCTCCGTGGGAGCAGGAACCTTCTGTCTTTTGTCCAACTGGGACCATGCCTGAGGCTTAGGAAGCACTCAGCACAAATTGCTGAATTAATGTTTGAGCGTCAGCATAGTAACTCTGGATGCTTATTTCAAAAACTGACCCCCCCAAATTTGTAATTACCTTATTCTGACAAAGACGTTTCTAATAAGAAATGCCCGTCACTTTTAAGAAACCCAAAATAGAACATTTAAATTCAGAGGGCGATCATTTGTAAGAGAATTCAATTTCAAAAGGTACTGCTTTCAAAAATGCTTTCTGGTGCCCTGAAGTGTTTCCTTTTAAATCATTACTGTTAAATCTGACCAACAGACGAAATAAGAATCAGTGATGGTTCATTAGGAACCTTTTTTTAATATAGAGAATTAGTTGATAAGTTAGTTGCAGGAACTAACTCACTGATTCAAGCTATTGGAAGGAGTGTGGTATAAGTGTGTATATTTGTTTTTTCATTTAAAATTATCCTTATTGGTGATTTTCAGTTTACAAAAGCAATATATACTTGTTGGAACAAATGAAAACCACAAAATCAGAGTGAAAAAAAGCAATGGTAATTATCTTCTGCCCACCTCTACTCCCACTTCCCTGTTGCAATCGAATTTAACATTATTCTTGCTTGTCCACAGATGTACATGAGCATATGTATATTTAGACAGAAGGTTTAGTTCTGAAGTAGGATCAGACCACACATATTAATCTGCAGTTGGCCTTTTCCCCTTTGTTACAAGCTCTAATTTCTTTTTTTTTTCCCTGATGTTATATATACCTACCCAGTCCTAGTTAATTCCACAGAAACACGTGTATCATTTTGGATTGCCCATGGTTCATGCTAGGGTGTGTCCTTAGCTCCCCATCACTTCCCCGTGTGCACCTGCGCTTCCTCTCCTGCCCTCAAGGTAAACCATGTCGGTGGCTTTGCATGGGTGCTCCTGCACTCTTCTCCTCTCTCGCCAGTTTCAGTACAAGGTGTGAACATACACGTGCACATACACACATACAAGGGCTTCGTCTGCTTCGTAGCCATGGTAACATATTATACATAATTCTCAGCGCCTTCCTTTCATGCTTAATTCTTTGTGGACATCCCTCCAGTTATTTTTAATAGCATTATGGCCCCTTGTTAAAAATCTCCCACTCCTGACTGATACTTAGTTTGCTTCAAGTTTTTGCCACAAAGAAGGAGGTTTAAATAAACAACTTTATACGCTGACGTCTTTATTTTTATAGGCCGGATTCCCAGGGTGGAATCGTTAGATCGTGTATACTTTTAATATGAACAAATGGAACAATATACCTTATTCTCCGGGAATATTTGAACATACCCTTTTCCCCACACCTTCACCAGCAATAGGTGTTACGGATTTTTTTTTTCTTTTTGGCCTTTGATAGTATGAAAACTAAACCAAAATGTCTCCTCATTATGACGTTAATTGACACTGAGAGGCTTCAGTCAAGTGAGAGCCATGTTCGGATCTTTCCATTTTAACAGATCACTCACTGGCTACAACATACAGAACAGATTGCAGGAGAGGTTTTGTTCCCGACAGTTGAGAGACCTTTGCAGTAGTCTAGTTAAAAGACAGTGGGGGCAATGAGCACGGGGAGATGTGAGGAGGAGTGGGGGCAGAATCCCAGGACCTGCTGGAGGTAGGGAGTGGGGAAACCGAAGGTGTTCTGGTGAGTCCCGGGCTTCTACGTTAAGCCACGTGGGTGCCCCATCTAATGAAATAAAGGAGGAACAGCCTGGAGTGGGAGAATGTTCAGTTTAAGGTTGCCTTCGAGACGCCTTAGATGTCATCAGACGTATCAGTTGGAGAGTTCCAAGCTCAACGTAAAATTGGGAGTTTTAGGAGTACGGATCCCGAGCGAAGAACCCTTGAGGGTGGATGAGGGCAACGAAGGGCAAGAGAAGGCTGGGCCCCAGGAAGTCCCCCAGTGCAGGCCGGAGCCGGGAGACGGCGGCTGACATAGCACAGTCAGCGCAGGTGCAGACAAGCGGTTGGAAGGACACAGCGCATCACGGAGGCTGAGAAAAGGGGGCGCTCCCAGAAGGGGGCGGCCAGCTGGTCTGAACGCTGCCCGCAGGCCGCGTCGGATGGGCCGTGCGGCATGCCTGGGGTTTGGGTGGTGTGAAGTCAGGCTGTCTGCGCAGGGCTTCAGCGCGTGATGAGCAAGCAACCTCCCCCCCACTCAAAGTCATTTCTTTCTTAAAAAAAAAATTATTTATTTATTTTTAGAGAGGGAAGGGAGGGAGAAAGAAAGAGAAACATCAATGTGCGGTTGCTAGGGGCCGTGGCCTGCAACCCAGGCATGTGCCCTGACTGGGAATCGAACCTGTGATGCTTTGGTTTGCAGCCCGTGCTCAATCCACTGAGCTACGCCAGCCAGGGCTAAAGTCACTTCTGATAGAACATTAGTACAGGTATAGATGGACGTTTGGTCTTGTCCCCACACGTTGAGTATCATTTAAAGAACTTTGAATGCAAACATCAACTGTACTTTTCACTATTGATCATTATGTCCCCGAATTAAAGCTTTATTCATATTTAAAACAATATAATTATGAAAGATCTCTGAAGTTTAAGAACAGTGAGAAATTTATCTCGTTGTATTTCAGTAAGCCTGATACTGTTAATATAACTTTTCGGTCCCTGAATCATACTTTTGTTAGTTCTTTAGGCAGCTCCTTTTCGGTTTTCAAGGTTAAGTAGCCTAATGTCTCACAGCCTCGGTCCAGCTGTGCCCCTTAGTGGCAGACTCCTTTCCGAGTTTGCTTCCTCCCTCGTCAGATGAGGGTTAATTTCCCAGTTTGCAGCTTATTGCGAGCACTAAGTGCAATAACACACGGGAAGGGCCTGGCACATAGCAAGCATTCCCTAAGTGGCAGCCATTTCTCTCCTTGTATTTTGGTCTGTGCTAAAACAAAAATCTGTTATTACCTTAGACTATTTTCATCTCAGTCTAAGTCTGATTGAAAATGAGCTGACCCCACAGAGAGCAGCGGTCATGTAGCCTTTGCCCTTTGACAGAGCCGAGGAGCCCACGCCATACGCGAACATCATGTATGACCGGAGGGTGATCCGGGGCAACACCTACGCTGTCTACCAGGAGCCGCCCGTGAGTAGAGCCTGCCCGGAGCTTTTCACTCCGTGCAGAAGGACCAACTGGTCTGTCTGTCTGTCTCTATTTCTGATCTGTTGCACACTAAACGTTTATAACATTTTTAAAAATAGGTTACTAGAAAAATGAATAGTCCTGTAAACTATTAAGGACATTGAATTTCTAATTTAAAAGTTTCCCCCCAAAGAAATCTCCAGGCCCAGATGGTTGCACTGGAGAATTTACCAGACCCGTGAAAAAAGAGAATTTGCACCAGTTCTGCACAATCCCTTCCAGAAAACAAGGGAGGAGGGGACACCTGCCGACTAGTCCTGGGAGGCCAGCGTCGCCCTGAGACCCAAGCCGGTGACCCCGATGAGAAGGCTGGAGGCTGGCAGCCAGCTGCCCGGGGTCAGCTGCACGTGCAGAGTCCCCCACGGGGTCGTAGCAAAGAGAGTCCAGCTGTGTTTAAAAAGAGCCGCATCCCACGCCCGAGCGGGGTTTACTCCAGAAAGGCAGAGGTGTTCTGGCCCTTGTGGATCAGTGTCATCCACCGTATCGACAGGTTAGAAAGACAAATGACAAATGACAATGACAAATCCCGGGGTCACAGTCATTGGTGCAGAACAAGTATTTAACGGTTCAACTCTCATTCCTGATAAACACGACAAACTAAGAGTTGAGGGGAATGTCCTCAATTTGATGAAGAGCTTCCATAAAACACATACAGCTAACACCATAATTGGTGGTGGAAAAAATGAATGCTTTCCTTCCCAGAGTGGGAAAACGCAAGGATGTCATCCACTCGCGCCACTCCTAGTCAACGCAGTGCCAGGAGCTCTAGCCAGCGCTAGGTGCAGGTCAGAGAGGGAGGAGTGAGACCGTCCCTGACTGCCGGGGACGTGATGGTCTGCCTGGAACGAGCCCACTGACTCTCCGGAAGGACTGAGCACTCGTAACTGGGTTGGACAGCATCACAGGACACAGATCGGCACACAAGATCAGTCGTACTCCTATATGCTAAAAAGGAACAAGCAGAAAATGAAACTTGAAACACAGTATCACTTACAGTCCCTTCAAAACCCTGGAATGCCTAGGTATAAATCGAAGCATGCACAGGACCTGTAAGATAAAAACCACAAAACGCTGATCAAAGGAATTAAAAACCACCCAAAGAAATGGAAAGACATACGCCACGTTTGTGGATTGAAAGCCTCACCATCGTAAAGATGTTACTTCTCCCCAAGCTGATCTGTCCATATAACACAGTGTCTATCAAAATTCCAGCGAGATTTACGTAGTTTATTTTGCCCTGATGAGAATGGCTCAGTTGGTTGAGCGTTGTCCCACACAGTGAAAGGTTGGGGGTTCAATTCCCGGTCAGGGCACATGCCTGGGTCATGGGCCCTGTCCCCGGTTGGGGCACACGGAAGAGGAACCGATCAATGTTTCTTTCGTATGTTGGTGTTTCTCTCCTCTTTCTCCCTCCTTGCCCCTCTCTCTAAAAATAAATAAATACCATCTTTTTTTAAAAAAAAAAGACAAGCTTATTCTAAAATTGATACGGAAAGGCAAAGGAACTAAAACGGTTATGCCATTTTGGAAAAAAATAAAGTGGGAAGAATTACGCTACCCTATGTTAAGATTTACCAAATATGATGTTAGTAATTGTATCAAAAAAAGGTTGTATTGGTGGAGGGATGGACACGTGGGCCATTGGGACAGAGTAGACAACTCAACGCCATGCACCCAGCTAATGTTGGGCAAAGGCGCTAAAGAGGGTCAGCGGAGTGAAGACAGCCCTTTCAACAAACGGTGCTGGAACAACTGGAGACCAAAAAAAAAAAAAAGTGAACCACCTCACACCATAAACAAAAATTAATTCAAATGGATCATGGACTTAAATGTAAAATGTAAAATGTAAAACTATAAACTCTTAGGAAAAAACCTTTGGCATCCAGGGCTAAGCAGAGGGTTCTGAGATATATCACCCAAAGCACAGTCCAGAGAACAAAACGTGATAAATCAGACTTTATCAGAATCCCAAACTTTGTGATGTGAAAATCCTTACAGGAGGATGAAAGGCTACAAACTGGAAGGGGATGTTTGCAAACCGCATTCTAACAAAGGGCTTATGTTTGGAGTATATAAAGAACTCTCAAAACTCAAAGGTGAAAAGAAACAACCCAATTAGAAGATGGTCAGAGTCAGATCATCTGACTCTGGGTGGTGGGCACACAGGGCAATACACACGTCACGTGTCACAGAAGCACACGTGAAACCTACGTGACCGTACCGTGACCGTACTGACATGTTGCCCCAAGGAATTAATTAAAAATACTTCTTGATTAAAATAAAATTAAAAACAAACAAATAAATAAATAATACTTCTTACCCTTGTTGATAATATTGACAAGTATAACCACCTTAGTGTAAAAAAAAAAGAAAGAAAGCAGTCAAAAGACATGAGCAGATATTATCAAAGAAGAGATTTACGTGGCAAACTAAGTACATTAAAAATAACATTACCCCTCATTAGGGAAATACAAAATCAAAGCCACAACTAAACCCGTGTAACGTTTAAATAGTTCCTTTCCCCTTTACAAAATAAAAAACAAAACACAACTATACACCCATTACACCGTAACTATACACTTGTTAGAAAAGCTAAAATTTTAAAAATAGTGATAATGACAAGTGTCGGTGAGAATGCGGAGCAGCTGGAACTCTCGTCCGTTGCTTATGGAGCGTGAAACAGCACATTCCCCTTGGAAAACTGTTCAGGAGCCACTCATGACAATGAACAGGGACTTACAATTTGGCTCTACAGTCGCACTCTGGGACAGTGATTCCAGAGAAATGAGAAGTGGTCTTCGCATATGAACCTGGGCATGAATGAACATTCACAGAAGCTTTATTCACGATAGCCAGAAACTGGAAACACATTCCAGTGTCTCTCACAGGAAGATGGTTACGCAAACCTGGCACATCCGTATAATCAAGTTCTACTCAGTAACAGAAAGGACTGAGCCGTTGATAAACGTAACAGTCTCCGTGGGTCTCAACAGCATTTTGCTAAGTGGAAAAAGCCAGTCTTAAAAGATGACATACTGGGTGATTCCTTGTATGGAGGATTCCAGAAAAGACTAAGCTATGGAGATGGAGAACAGACTAGTGGTTGCCAGGAGACAGGGAGGAAGGTGGGACTTGGGAGAAACGTAAAGGACTCCCCAAAGGAGCCCTTTGGTGGGAAGGAAACCCGGACTGTGGGGGTGGCTACACAAATCTGCACTGGGCGTGAAATCACAGGGACTGCACCCACAAACACAACTCAGTGCAGGCAAAAGTGTTAAACCTGAGTAAGACCTGTTCGTATTTTACTGGTGTCAGTCTCCTGGTGTTGATGTTTTGCTACAAGTACGTAAAATACCGTATTTTGGCATGTATGATGCGTTCCTGTGTATAGTGCATGTATAGTGCACACCCACGTTTTGGGCCTGAACTTTCAGGGAAAGAATCTTTCATTTTAACTTCTTAATTTTTTATTAATATTTAGAAACAAAAACAGTTACATATTCCAGAGTATTATTTTGCATATGGCTATCGTTACTGGTTTCTAGAGCTAGAATTTTTAACACATTAGCATAAATAAATAAAAGAATTAAAAATACTTATATAGATAATGGAATTAACACTACCCATGTCTAATGCTCATCCTTATTTTCCCCTCAAAAATGTGGGTACAAAGTGTGCATCGTACATGGCAAAATACTGTATATATACTTTGGAAAAAGCCACCATTGGAAAAAGGTGGATGAAGGGTACACAGGACTCTACTTCTTTTGTAATCTCCTGTGAGTTGTTTCGAAGTAAATCTTTTTTTTAAAGATTTTATTTATTTATTTTTTTAGAGAGGGAAGGGAGGGAGAAAGAGAGAAAGAGAAACATCCATGTGCGGTTGCTGGGGGTCATGGCCTGCAACCCAGGCATGTACCCTGACTGGGAATTGAACCTGCGACACTTTGGTTCGCAGCCCGCGCTCAATCCACTGAGCTACGCCAGCCAGGGCGCACAAAATAAAACTTTTTAAAAAACATTTTAACTAGACCCTGTAACAACTGAGTTGGGCGTTGTGTTTCAAAAAAGGACACGCTGCATTTCTGTTTCCCCAAGTCTCTGAAGAGCTCAGTTTGCACAGTCACACCCTGCTCAACAACAAGGGTGCGTTCTGAGCGACGTGTCGTTAGGAGACTCTGTTGTCGTGTGAACATCACGGAGTGTGCTCACACAAATCAGACAGTGCAGCCAACACACCTGGCTCAGGCAGTGCGCCTGTCGCTTCTGGGCCAGAAGCCTGTCCAGCGTGTTGCTCTAGGAAACGACACGAGACTAACGAGGCACGAGAGAAAATGATGCCGTGGAGAGATGCGGTGAACACAAGGCGTGTGGGCTGACGGATGCCGGCACACCACGGCAGACTGTTGCGGGGCAAACCCTGTTTTTACAAGTAGAAAGAGCGAGCACACTAAAATAATGATGAAAAGTACTGCGTGGTCAATACCTAAACCAGAACCATAGCCATCTGTTACCGTTATCATGTGTTAGGGCAGCTTATAATTGCATGTGCTGTGCTTCTACGCCGCTGGCAGTGCAGTAGGTTCGTCTGCACAGGCACCACCACCAACCACAGTCATGTGCCGCAGTGTTGCAGTGGCTACTGTGTCGTCACTGGGTGGTAAGAATTTTTCAGCAACTTTATAACCGTATGGGACCTCCATGGTATATGCAGTCCATCATCGGCCAAAACATTGTTACAGCACGTGCCTGTAATTCTGTTCCATTAAGAAAACGGAAAAAAAATCCAGTAAGATATTTATAATAGTGTAGAATATGTACCCAAAAAAGCCTTCAATAAATGATCCCAAAATAATACCAGTAATTAGGAAAATGGAATTATAGGAGATGGGGGAGGGGTAATGCTGTTATTTTGTAACGAGAGACCATGACACCTATGGGGAGAGCTGCTCTGTACCACCAGGTGTTGAGTCGGGCCGGTCATGTCACCATTTGATTTGTCCCTCTCAGCCAGGACCCTCGGCAGGTGTCGTCAGCGTCCCCATGGTGCAGATGAGAAAGCTGACCACCTGGAAACTTAAGTTACCGGTCCCAGCTTGACCAGCCCTGGCGCACTGAGAACTGAAGCGTCGGGGTGTGAGCCTCAGAGCCCGCGCTCCTGTCTCCGCCGTGTGATGCGGTGAGGCGAGTTTGCGCCTCAGGCTGCGTGACATCAGGGACACGGTGTAAAACGCACCACGTCATCGCAGGCTCAGAAAAACCGTGCATTCAAATGGCAGGAGCCATTGCATGCAGGAGATGTGATTACACATTTTTACAAAAAACTTTAGTGTTCCTTACATTGTCATTTCAGGTAAAATGTCTCAGAATTCTAAGTTTAAATATTAAAAAGTTTTTTCATGAAAAGCACTTTTGTATTTTCCCAGTGCTGTTGCATTTGCTTTGGGATAAGACAGATGTAACTAGAGGATGATTTCAAAACGAGACGCAGACACGAAATCAGGGGCCTCTGAGCCGTGCGGAACTGCTGGGCAGAATGGTGATCACCCTTTAGTTACCGTTTGTGCGCTGGGGCTGAGGGAAGAGAGCGAGTAATACTGTAATAAATCCGTGCGGTGGCAGGTAGCACTGGACTTACCGGGGCTCACTGCGTAAATTGTATTCTTGTCTAACCACCGTGATGTCCACCTCAAACTAATAAAAATAATTTTAAATGCCAACTGTAATTGAAAAACTAAAATCATCTTAGTGCTTTTCAATCTCTGAACTGTACATTAAAACTTATTATACCTAAACAAGTGTATCAGCACACTAGGTTACTAGGCATAAGAGGAAATCATGGTAAAAAAAAAAAAAACTTGAATGAGGAAAAACAGTTTATTGCATAAGATTCTGCTCCCGTTGATACCACTTAACAATGGTATTCCGAAGCCACGTTCCTGCGTGGCCAGACACCTGTCTAATTATCTGGCACGGTTCTGGTAAAATTTCCGCCCCCGGATGACCGGGAAGCCGTGAATGACCGGTGCCTGTACGCCGTCCCGGAATCGCCTTCGCAGTGGCGGCTCTGCGTGCTCTGAGAAGTACTCTCTAAACTTCAGATGCCTTTTCTGTCGCTCTCAGCGTGGGCAGCTCAGTGACACAGACGTTCAGAGGCACCGTCGGACGCAGAAGAGGGCTCTTTCCAAAAAACGAACCCAAGAACAGCTGAGGCCGTGGACGCCGGAACCCGTGGAAGGCAGAAAGCACGTGGACGTGCAGACAGGTCTGTGAGCGTGCCGCTGGCACGTGGCTTCTGGGTTTGCTCGGTTTCCTGAGTCCGTTGTTCCGTGTGTCCCCAATGTTTGCTGTGTGTCTGTTACATTATCCAGGACTCTCCCAGCCACTCGATAGGAGAAGTCAGTTCGTTAGAAGAATTCATAGACGATGTATTAGTATTATATTGGGCACACATGGCAATGCAAAATGGGTGGGGTTTTTTTTAAAGAATTTTGTAACCAGATTAATTCTGTCTGAGCTCCTTTTACATATTTATTTTCAAACTGGGACTGTTTCTCACTTTGTTTTTGTAGCCTAGCATGAACCACTGCTGGACTTGCAGGAGAGGAGAGCAGTGCAGTTCAGTTTTGACATTTTCTTTGTCTCTGGGGAGGAGTAACCCCTTTCAGGTCCGAGCCCTCCCCCCTCCCCCCCTCCCCCTCCCCCCTCCCCTCCCCTCCCCCCCTCCCCCCTCCCCCTCCCCCTCCCTCACCACGACCTCTTCCGTTCTCTCGCTTTGTTCTCCTTCTGCTCCCGCACTCCCCAGGCCCGCACGGGCGCTCCTGGGCCTGGGCCGGTGCAGGCTTTTCCCACTGGTCTGACTGTTCTCAGCTGGCGGGGCTTACCCCTCTAGCTAGACCTAGACCTACACGGTCTGCGAGGGGCTAGCCTGTGTTGTCGACAGAATCTCGATAATCAGACAACACTCGGTGTTTTCCACGGAGTGCGTAACTACTCAAGATGCTCCTTGCACCTGGCCAAGGGGGTGAGTGAACTCATCAGAGTGTTTTCTGGGTAGTAAGGCCGAGAGGAAGAAAACCACTCCACAGTTCTCCCCCCGCCCCGACCCTGCCACCGAGTCTAGAACGAGTATGTCTGCGATCAGCCAATATATAGTTGTAATTCTGCCGAGATAAATTTTAATGTTGATTTACAGCATCAGAATATTAAGTGCTACGATAGTAGCCACCTTTTGTTGAGTGTTTCTTAGATCCCAGAGACTGTACCAGGTCCTCTACTCATGTGTCTCCTTTGTTGTTAAAAGACTCCGTGCGACAGACAGTTTCCATCCCTTTTACAGACGAAGACGCCGAGGCCCGAGGAGGCTGTGGCCTGGCCAGGCCCCGTGTTCTGCACCTGCCTCCAGCTGCCCTGCTCTTTGCATGGGCCCGTGCAGCCCTCGCCTCGCACGAGGTCTCCCTGAGGGGACATGGGTTTCTGTGCATGCATTTATAATCTACGGGCTGGAGGACAATCAAGTGACGGAGAGACGTGGGGCAGAATTATTTTTAAATATCCAGGACTTTTCAGATCTTCATATGTTTACTATCTTAGGACTCAGTTATATGGACGGATTATTAACTTCCCATCCCCTGTTATACTTTATATTCTACCTACGAGTACATCTAAGGTTTTAGTTTCATTTCCAAACGCAAAGCCCGGTGCTTTCTCCACACTCGGTACATGTTCCAGTCTGACCAACTGTGTGGTCTTGCAGACACACGCAGTGAACCGAAATCCCCATCCGAGCACCTTCTAACACTTCTTCTCTGACCCCGTTAGTCCTATTCTGAAGGAGCTAAAGTTTCAGATACAGATACATGCTTGAACGAGACCAGAGTTCCAAACTCAATGTGTATGGTATTCCCTTAGAATTATACCTTGAAGAAATTGCCGACCGCGTAATAGAAGTTGATATGGAATGCCAAACAGATGCGTTTTTGGACAGACCACCAACACCACTTTTTATTCCTGCCAAAACTGGCCGAGACGTGGCCACCGAAATACTAGAAGGAGAGGTACAGTACACCATCCACACTTCCCTGTGTCTTCCTCGTGAGTAGGTAAAGTGAGGTTTGGTTGAAAGCTTAATAGGGGTACAAACCACTGCATCGTCAGAAAGATTGTAGTTACTGGATTTCTTTCTTTCTTTTTTTTGAGAAGTTTGGTTCCGTTTATTATAGTGTCAAGTAGATTTACAACTATTGCACTTACTAGAATTCTGCAGATAGAAGGCCAACATTTAAGAGGATGTTTTTCTCCAATAAAGCTAAGTTTTCATTATCTTTAATGTAAGATGTTAAAATTACACAAGGTCCCCATGTTCTGATTGCCCCTCTTTGCTGATCAGAAATAAAAATCATTAGCAATGTTTTTTTCTCTTTTACATGTCTGCATACTTGCTTAAATAGACTATAAGTAGATTTGTACCAAATAAGGAAAAATAATGTTTCTGGCATAAAAGATTTTACTATTAGTTGCTTATAGATTATAGATTATCTTCATAACTTCTATGAAGATAACCTATGTTAAGAAGTTCTAAAAATCATTACATTTTCATGTCAATGTGGGATGCGTTGATTGGCCAGTTTAGGAAGTGTAAGAAGAGAAAGCAACGCTTACACACATTATGTGTATGTAATATAATGATTTACATGAGGTTTAAGACCTGGAGGAACTTGAACAAACTGCCATGGAAATTTGGAAAATAAGTCCTCATCAGCCACACAGAAGAGTATATTTGCTTCTATATCCTAGAGATGAGTCACCCTAATATCTGTTACTCTTGTTCCTTTGTTTTTCAACTGTTACCAAAAAACAATGAGTAAGAATTGAGTGAAAAAGGCAGGGAGTAAGAAAGACAAGGCTATTTCTCCTGGGTTGCAGAGTTTGATCTTACAATGGCCAAGTATCAGGGTTCGCTGTGATGACCGCAAAGATCTTGGCTGTAACCTTGACTCGGCCGCTTTGCCTGCGAACAGGGCGCCCTCCCGTGGGCCTCGCAGGCCGGTCTGAGGGCCGGAAACCGCGAGCGGGGCCCAAGCACCGCGTCTGGCACGCGGGAGACGCTCCGGGTGGTTTTTCACTGAACGCTTGGTCTACGATTAAAATTCAGTGCATGGACGTGGGCAAAGAGGGGGGACGTGGGGGGCATCTGTAATCATGTCCACAATTTAAAATTTCTTTAATTGGAATTTGCTCTGTTTTGTGCATTTAAGCTCTTTGACTTTGACCTTGAAGTCAGGCCGATGTTAGAAGTTCTGGTGGGGAAGACCATCGAGCAGGCTCTCCTGGAAGTGATGGAGGAGGAGGAGCTGGCCAACCTGCGGGCCGGCCAGAACGCGTACGAGGAGCTGCGCAACGTTGAACTTGCTGAAGTTCAGAGACTCGAGGAGCAAGAGAAACGGCACCGACAGGAGAAAGTAGGGAGTCCCGCCTTTCTCTCTGGGTCTCGGGCGGCGCTGTGACAGACGGTGCCCAGAGTCACGGGTGGCATGTCGCAGCGCCTGAGATCGCTAGAAATGTGTTAGAGGACACCAGTAGTTTTTGTCGTGCGTGTCTCTCCTGTCCTGTGTGTCCTAGAACCTGCACGAACTGAACTGAGTTTTTTAAATCCCAGCGTATATAAAGGTACCTGAATAGAGTTCCCCGGAATTCCAAGTGGAACAATGTAAATTATTAACTGTCCCAACTGAAAGGCACTCTTACGTACCAAGGGCCCTAGTGAAAGAAACACACCGAGCTGCCATCGGTCAGAGGCAGAAGAGGAGGAGGGGAGCGGGGTGTGTCCGAGACAGGCGGGGGACAGGAGCAGAGGGTGGGTCTGCGCGGAATTCTGGGTCTTGTCTCCCGAGCGCGGCCAGGCTCTCCTCTGGGCCCCTCGGCACGCGCCATGTGGGTCCTCGCAGGATGGTTTTTTTTTTTAGATTATAGGTATTTAGAACCTTTCATAAAGTTTTGGAATCCAATTTTTTAATCCTCGCCCAAGGACATGTGTATTGATTTTAAAGAAGGAGGGAGGGAGAGAGAGGGGGAGATAGTGACATATGAGAGAAACATCAGCCGGTTGCCTCTCACACGTGCCCTGGCTGGGGCTCGAACCTGCAGCATTTCCGTGCATGGGACGGCGCTCCAACCAACTGAGGCACCTGGCCAGAGCTGGAATCCAGTCTTTAAAAAATGCCACCAGCCTCCAGTTAGGAAACACGGGGCTCGGCAGTCTCTCCAGGCATTTCTGGGTCGGGCGGTGTGGCCCCGCCCTGTGCCCCGAAAGAGTGCATCACCCTGGCGTGCCCGGGCGCCCGAGCCAGTTCGGACGGCCTCCCGGACAGTCCCGCTGACCCCACAGGACGGCTAGCTGTTGGGTGTCCCACCTCATGCCTAACCAGATGGACTTTCAGTTTCCCTCCAAGATGAATGGTTAACTGTGTAGAGAGCATGTGGCTTATGGTAAAAACTGTGCAAATGCAAAACTTTTTACAAATGTAAAGTGAACACCAACAATGTTAGCTTTATTGAAATAGCCAGTGAGATCTATCAATGAATACTTACTTTTTAGTTTATTTACTATTAGGAAGTATGAAAAAATGAAGACTAGAGATCATCTGGATTTGTATTTGCTTAACCTTTGAAAACGGACCGAGCCAGGAAGTGTGTCAGTGCCCCCACTTGCACGTGGGCACAGAGAAGGCAGCCCCCGGCTTTGTGGGCACGGGCTCTGAGAAGCAGCGACAACAGGGAAAGGTCTTAGAATTTTTGGAACTTTGTGACTTCAAAAATTCTTTTTTTTTTTAGATTTATTTATTTATTTATTTTTAGAGAGGGAAGGGAAGGAAAAAGAGAGAGAGAGAAACATCAATGTGCAGTTGCTGGGGGCCGTGGCCTGCAACCCAGGCATGTACCCTGGCTGGGAATCGAACCTGCGACGCTTTGGTTCGCAGCCCACGCTCAATCCACTGAGCTACGCCAGCCAGGAAAAATTTTTGACAAGTGAGACAATTCATTGGCCCAAGTTCTTTCCTGAAGACATCTAAGCAACTATACAATTTTCATATTGGCAGTACTTTACGATACTACTGCATAAAAATACGTATACCCCAACCCTTTGATATCACCCGTGCAGTCAAACATGCATATCTCGAAATTGCTTTCCTTGAACACGGGTCGGGAGATGAATTTTACCATAAGCTCCCTCCCTCTCTTTCCTGAGCTCAGTGCCTACCAGCTGCTGGAATTCATCAACAACTCGCCCTGGCTGGCGTAGCTCAGTGGATTGAGTGCGGGCTGTGAACCAAAGTGTCGCAGGTTCGATTCTCAGTCAGGGTGCATGCCTGGGTTGCAGGCCATGACCCCCAGCAACCGCACATTGATGTTTCTCTCTCTCTATCTCCCTCCCTTCCCTCTCTAAAAAATAAATAAAATCTTAAAAAAAAAAGAAATTCATCAACAACTCGATGGAAAATGTGAACCTTTCCCAGGCAGATGCCTTGCTGTCCATTTTGGGGGTAGAACTCTGAGTCCATCTTCTTCCACGCACTAGCGTCAGCACGCGGGGAGGACGGGGCGGCGAGGTCGGCGCCAACCACGGGGTTGTCTCTGCGCAGGAGCGCCGGAAGCAGCAGCAGTGGGAGGTGGTGCACAAGCACAAGCAGACGGCGGAGAAGATCGCCGCCCGCGCCTTCGCCGTGCGCTACCTGTCCGACCTCCTGCCCTCGGTCTTTGGCAGCCTCCGGGACGGCGGCTACTTCTTCGATCCCATCGAGAGAGGTTCGTGGAGGGTTTTGTCAGATGCGTTCTCACGCCGAGCACCACCTAACAGTTCACACTTATCTCCTGCTCACTTTTATTTTGAACTGGGGTCTTTCCATCTCCGAAGCGAAGTAAAAAGTCAGTTACAGTCGTTCTGAGTCAGTACTGTTACTAACAAGAGTGTTGGCAAGACCTTGACTTCAGAATGCTAGTCAGTCTTTATCCAGCAGCAACACTGGAGCGTAGAAAGAAGTGTGCCCTTGAGGCCAGACCTCTGGGTTTGGGACCCAGCCTCGTCGTGAAGGAGCTCCGTGGCCTTCATTTTCTTACTGTGAGGTGAGGATGATTTGGAAGTTAAGTGTCATGATATATTTGAAACTTCTGCGAACTATAAAGCACCATTTCTGCGTAAGCGTCTACTCACTTTTTCTCAGCTGATTTTCTATTCTCATCAAAAACCTCTGGGGGCAGCGACTGAAGTTGTCGAGGTTATTGTTAGGTGTTCGCACCCTCCCCGGCGCTGTGCTGGGCGTTGGAGCTAGGAAAGGAGACCCGGTTTCTGCCTTTTCCAGAACCCAGACCTGCGTCCCGCAGAGCTGTCTCTGCAGCGGCTCCGGCCAGACGAAGGGCCCGGGTCCCCGTAGCCTCACTGCCCCCCTCCGTCCCCAGCGCAGCAGCCCCAGACCCGCAGTGCTGCGCGCACAGGTCCCGTTCCAGAGGACTCGCGCAGGGTCCGGGGGCAGGGCTAGCGATGTTCCTTCTCGCTGGTCACACAGCTCCAACACGCAGAGGTCAGGTTGCGCACACGTCATTAGTTCACACCGATGTGATCCTTTCTAACTTGTGAGTGTTTTCCATACGTGACACCATGTGACCCTCCCAGGAGCCCTGCGGGGGTGGACAGCGTAGACTAAGTCCCATTTTTTCAGAAGAAGACACTGCAGCTCAGAAAGGGAAATGCCTTGCTCCTGCCCACGGGGGAGGGACACGCACAGGCCCAGGCGGAGCCGACTCAGGCTCCGGGCCATGCATCCTCTCGTGGGTTTGGAAGCTGGTGGACAGATGGATGCCTAGCTTCAAATTACCTGTGGTAGGGAATGCACTGCTCTATCACACTGTTGTTGCCCCTCTGAAAGATGAAAAGGGTAGATGCCCACCCCCCAAAAAGCTACTTTTGAACATCAACACGGGTATTGCAGTGGGCCGTGGTTTTAAAAGGCTTCCACAGCAGCAGAGTAGGTTTCCGTTTGAACGAAAGGACCACTGTGGAAAGCCCTGGTTTCTAGATGGCCTTCTCCTCAGATGCCCTCTGACCTGCGTCCTCCGAGTCCCGGTCTGCTGCCGTGAGGCCCCGGCTCCAGGCGGGGCACCTGTCCCAGGCGTCGCCCGACCCCAGACTGGCACTGCGTGTGGAGGCACCGCGGCCCCCAGGTCCCCCCCACCCCCCCGCCCCTAGACCCACCTCACACGCCCCTGCACAGTCAGCTCAGAGACTGCGGTTTTGGAAACACTGTTTCTACCGCACGGGGAAGGAAACGGAGCAGAACACAGAGAGGGAACCTGGCACAGTGATGCTGTGTGAGGCTGCGTAGCATTCTGTATAAAGAAAGCAGTGTTGACGTTGTAACATTAGGGGAAAAGCACAGGTTCTTCCTATTTGTAGTGATTCTTAAGAACTACTTTTAATGATTAAAACCGACTTTTTTTATCATAGATATTGAGCTAGGATTCCTTCCATGGCTAATGAAAGAAGTCGAGAAGACTGTGGAACACGGCATTGTGGGAAGGACAGTGCTTGACAGTAAGTTGTTTTATTTAAAAGCCATCTCTAAACCTTTCAGTAGTGAGAATAAATAGATGTCGATTTTACAGTTTTAGTTCTCAATTTTTCAGTATATCAATTATATTAACCAAGGTACACATGTTTACCCTCAATATTATTTTTGGTTCTTCTGTAACGTGGTCAGAATTCATATTTTTGTCATTAGTTTATAAAGATCTTGTTAAAATAGGTATCGAACCTGACTCACGTTCGATCCGTTGGGGACTCAGAAGGCAAGCTCATGACCGTGTACGAAAGGCTCCGACACAGGCGGGGAGGGGGTGAGGTCCCGTGAATGCTTCATGCTCACCCGCTGGTCCGCGTTCTAGCTGCCGAAACACAGCCAACCGCAGGGACCTGCGTGTGTGTCTGTGCCCTTCCAGTGCTCATCCGCGAGGTCGTGGAGAGGAGACTGACCATGTACGAGCGTAAGGACGGCAAGCTCCCGCCTGTGAAACCCAAGGGCCGGCCCAGCGGCCCTGCAGCGCGGAGGAACCCGCCGATGGGCCACGAGTTCCAGGACCAGCGGCCGCTTCCAAACCCTGACCCCCTGCGGAGAACAGACACGGTGTCGTCCCGGGAGAGGATGCTCAGGGAGGAAGAGGACGAACTCACGGAGCTGAGGAGCTCCTCCCGGAGCGGGGCCTGGGAGGCCTGAGGCCGCCCGGCGCCCGCTGGCACCAGCGCCGCAAGCACCAGCGATCAGGTCAGGCCGAACTGTGGGGGCGGGGGCGGGGGGGGGGGGGCCTCGGGCTGCACCGATCGGGTCGCATTGCGTCGGCGCGGTTTTCGTCTGATGGGCCGGGCCAGTCGAGAAATAATGTTGAAATAATAAAACCTAGTAATAAGTGAAGCTTAAATACTTCATTTATTTGATAGAGAGATACCTTTCAAGTTATAACTCTCGTGAGAATTATGCTTAATGATAAGCTTCCCATTGTCACTATATATAACTATCAAATATATTTTTTCTTAACCTTTCTAATTTGTGGGCCAGTGTTTTTCAGTGAGTGTGTTACGGAACGCCGGATGTTAGTACCGTCGGCCACTGGACTTCCCTTCCCTCCAGGAGAAGCCCCTCAAGGGAGGAGTGCCCCGTTGCTGGGTGGCCAAAAGCTGCGGCCCCCCCTCTCGTAAGGACCAAGGACTACACCCGCATCTGTATAAAATGAACAGGCGGTGACCCCTTCCAGCGCTAATATTCAGATAAGGCACATGTGGGGCTCTGTGACTCAGTAATACTCTCCCGTCTATTTTTTTTTTCCACATTTCCGCCACTAAGAAATTTGAGTGATGCCAATAAAGTTACGATCCCCGCTCACCCTTGCGCCCGTCCACTCCCTTCCTCAGAGATAGCCGCTGCCATTCACTAGGTGTGCGCCTTTGGGCCTGTTTGAGGATGTTTGTATATTTAGACACCTAGAAATATGTGGGTTGACTTCTCTTGACATACATGTATTTCTATAATAGAAATTATAATAGAAATCTATAAATAGAAATGTATTATTTGCATCGTCACCTCATGGTCTACCTTGGACCTTTCCACTTTGATGCATATAAATCCCTTTTTCAATGTGGTGAGACATTACACACTGTGACTGTATTACAGTCCAGGGAATCTGCATTTGACTGTTGAATCCGGACTGGTTGACAGATTTCCCTGCACTGCTGAAAATCGGATATTTTACCTCCAAAGTCACGTTGCTCCTGAGCAGTCACCGAAGGCTGCCAAGGCCCAGGCGCACAACAGCCCGTTCCCCTCGGAGTGAGCTGTAGTGACCTGCAACAACCCGCAGTTACTGACACATTTACCCTCATTTCTTTCTAAGTCAGGCGCCAAAAACACACCCGCACGTCAACAATGGAGGAAGAACATCTTTCTCCAGTTGAAGAAAGGACTCGTGCCGTGCGGCTGCGTAGCGTAGCAGGGTTCTCAGACCATCCCCGCACATCGCTCCGTCATCCACACCTCACGGCGCCCCTTCTGAAGTGCGGGCGACAGTGTCTTCATTGTCACTCTCGCTCGCCAGTTCGGCCAGCCAGCGAGCACTGACCGAGGGCCTGCCGAGTGTCAGCTCCACGCGGGAGGCGGCGGAGCCCCAGGCGGCGGAGCCCCAGGCGGCGGGGTGCGGGTGAGAAACGCCACAGCTCGGGGGTTCGGAGTGACGTGCCATCGCTGCCCAGCCTGCTAAGTAACGGGATGGAGGCTGGACCCCGGATCTGCTTGCTGCTAACCCAGTGTGCTTTCCTCTAAACAGCCGTGAGCCCTCGTGAGGTGGGCTCAGAGAGTAACTCCAAAGAAACGACCGCATTGCAGCGCGTTAAATGTTGGAATCGCCGCTGGTACCCACAGCTGGGTTAGTTCCACCTCGCTGAACACTCTTCATGGTCTTCCTAAAATGTGTAGGATTCATTTTGGCAAGAAGACCAAAAAAATTTTTTAATTAGGGTTGCTGCTGATCATTATTATTATAGATCTTAAAATACCTACAATTTTAAGAATGCTTTCAAAGTGGACTTGAGACTGTCTTGTGCAGTGGTTATCCTTCTGCACAATAGTCTGGTCCCTTAAGCGCTTTGCAGAGGCTTCACTGGCCCTTCAGACCTGCGCTCTGTACCTCCCCACCTTCTGAAGACACAGCAATCTGCGGGGGCCTCCCCCAACCCCACGCCGCGCTGAGCGGCCGAGCCTGACTCTGCCCTGCTGCGTTCTGGAGGGGACAGAGGGCGCCGTCCCTGGGATGCAGCTCGGAGACACGGGCTGGTGTTGGCTGGTGCGACAGTAGTGAACGGAAAGTTTGCATGTTACCCGCGGTGACGAAGAAGTTCCCCAGGCACATGAAGTAGTTCGTGGGGAAACAAAAGGCTCGGATCCCGGGAGTGCAGGCTTCCGGTGACTGCGAGCAGCTCTGCGGACGGGTGGCTGGACGCACCGCCGCGTGCGGACCGCCACTGGCTGTGCCCACAGTCGCCACTGCTCTTCTCGTGAGCTCTGCTCCTTTCTGTCGTTCCAACAAACACCAGGCTAACAGACGCCAGAGATTCATGAAATAGATGACACATAATAAGTTTATAGAGCTGTCGTCTCTGACATAAATCCTGATCACTGAAACCGACCAGAGAGTAGAAGCAACAAGGCGCCGTGGCACCTGCGCCGCTGGGACTTCTGCCGGCGCGGCCTGGGAAGTCCCGCGTGTCTGAGTGTGCACATGAGAACACCCGTGTGTCCTCTGGCTCAACAGTCGGAGCCGCTCACCTCCATCTAGGTAGGACAGAGGCGCTCTGGAGAGACCCGCGCACGGGTCTAACGGCCCCCCAGACCAGGGCGCACCCGTTGTTCTTGGCCACAGCGCCAGCCTTCCCAAGCTTCCTCCCTCACAGTCAGACACGCAGACAGGAGTGTCCCCAGCAGGGCGTTGCTGTCGTTGGGAAGTATTGTTGACGGTATTGGATCGGTGTCCACAATCCTCACTTTGAATCAGGGCATATTTACCTTTGATTTTTAGTGAGACCAACTTACAAATTAAATTTAGTAAACTGGTGGTTTAGATAATATTTTTCTGTTTTTAATAAACCATGGAAATAATATAACTTAAATACATGCATTAAAAGATGCAGTAATATTGTAAGTTTGCTTATAAATAAAATCAGTCAAGATATTTAAAAGTTTGAAATTTCAGGATAAAGATATCTTAAAGATAACATCTAAACAATCTTAAGTTCATTAAAAAATGCAGTTTAAAACCTGAATAAGTTTTTATCACTACATGAATTTATAATTTTTATAGAATTGAATATTTTTATTTTTATAATAATTGTGTATATTCTGCCTTGGCTGGCGTGGCTCAGTGGATTGAGCACGGGCTGCAAACCAAAGTGTCGCATGTTCGATTCCCAGTCAGGGTACATGCCTGGGTTGCAGGCCATAACCCCCAGCAACTGCACATTGATGTTTCTCTCTCTCTTTCCCCCTCCCTTCCCTCTCTAAAAATAAATAAATGAAAATCTTCAAAAAAAAATAATTGTGTATATTCTAACATGTTACATTGTACTGATTCCCATATTTACCACTAGGTGTCAGTAAAACCCTAAGGTAAAGCTCACTTGCCTCCAACTTCTGGCGAAATTTAATGACTGTAAAGAGACTTTAGTAGACAGTTCAGAAATAGATTGTATTCCTTGGAGTCTCCGGACTCAACACTGAGCATCTTATCTTGCCCTAAACTCACCTGCCAGCTCTGCAGGGGTTCGAGGGGACCCCAGCCTGTATCTCAGACTCGTAAAACTCGCGTCTCAGACTGGGCCTCAGCCATCCAGGGCTGCAGCCTCCCAGCCATGGGACCCTTCGCGGGCGGCCGTTCAGTCCACGCTCAACTCCCGTAAGGACGGGCCTTCCCTGCACGAGCTGCCCTGGAATAGCATCTCCTCCTTCTTCAGTCTTGCCCTTCCACCAGGTCGAGGCTGGGCTAAGTGCTCAGTCAACTGCCTTATTGGACAGCTCCCATTTCTAGAAATTTCTTTTAGGCTGAATCGAATCTGTCCCACTATAACCTATGCTTTTTAGTCATAATCACGCCACATGGCATTACTAATGACGGAAGGAGACGTAGTAATTTTATTGCCATATCAGTGCTACTCTATACTCCAGTGAGTGTGTCCTTTTTAACAAGTTTTTCTTCCTCCCAGTGAAACTCTACCATTCTTCCCACTGATTCCCCGCGTGGCCTGGTTTCAAACCTTCCTCACCCTCCGTCCTGGTTACTGTTGCCTTCAAGCCCCCATTCGGCCAAGGTCGCCGTAAAACATGTTTCCCAGAGTGAGTCATGTTACTGCGGGTGGACTCTGACTCGGCAAACAGTATCAGGGCTGCTGTTCCTCACGACCTGCGTGACAGCTCACGTCTTCTCAGCTCAGATTTCTAGAAGCTTCATCTTCAGAACATAGGAGAGAGAAAGCCAAAAAACGGCTTCCGAGCCGTCATGGCGTCACAGAGCCTGCGCACTGTGCAGCGGGCCGTCCAGACCTGTTCCCGCGGTTGCTCAGGGGCTGGGCTGTTGGACCATGAACCGCGAGGCCCGTTAGAAGTAGCACAGTAACGAGGAGGGAGGGCCCGCTGTGGGGGGACCCAGGGGCTAACGAAGCGCAAAGGCAGGAGAAACCGGTGAGTCCAGAAGCACAGCCGCTGGGACCAAACCCGAACCCTCCTCAGCAGGCCCCGGAGGCATCACCGTGCCACAGCGCCGTCGGGAGGGACCGTTCACGGAGGCTGTGCTCCTGGAGGGCTGGGGGCCAGACCTCCGGGTACCCGCTCCCCCCACAGCAGCAGTGAGGACACAGGCAAAACCGTCCCCGAAGTCAACATGTTCAGAACTCCGGGAGTCAACCAAAGCTCTGCAACAATGGAGAGCTCTTACTCAAGAAAAGTGGCCGAGTCTTGTGAGAACAGCTGGCTTTGTGGCACTTAATCTTGCCCCGTTTCTGCCTCGTTCTTCCCAGCTCTGTGTTAGCCTTGAAAACCAGCAGACTCAGAACCACGGTGACTCAGCAAGCCAGCAGCCGAGCAGCCACTGGAGGAAGCCAGCGGGCCTGGAGTTCCCCAGAAAGCCACACCCCCAGAAAACTATCACTGTTTGGCTAGCCTGGGAGCCCCCTGGAAAAGTCCGTTTATATCTTTATTTGATCTGACTCAGAGCTAGCTCAGTGAGGAAAGCCCTAACCCTGGGGCATTGGTTTAAAAAAAAAAAAAGTGTCAGCAATTGTTTAACATCACAGCGGCCCGAGGCAGAAACGCCAGCCGGAACACATCATCGGGGGCCGGCCAGAACCCTCAAAGGCAGATCTGGGGATGGAGGTGTGCACAGGGCACTTGGAAAGGCTTCAGCGCGTCCCTGGGAACCTGGGTGGAAGGGGCCTCGTGGGTGCGTGCCCAGAAAGACCTGAGAAGGCGCCTCCGCTGAGCCCGAAGCTCTGCTCGGGCAGGAACTGGAACGTAAGTCAGAGTTGTGAACTACTGAAACACCGCAGGCGTGTCCCACTCACAGGGAGCCCATCAGCAAAGGGTGAGGGGCCCGCGGGTCCGGGGCACGTGAGGAAATCTCTGTCTGATCGCTAGCTGGTGCCGAAGCTGAGCAGAGCCTTCGGTGGCAGCCCACAAGGACGGCTGCAGAATTCGGTCAGGAAGGCCGGGAGACAGAAAAACAGCAAACACACACAGTCTGTGGGACGGGCGATGCTACAGCCAACTGAGCCATGCCCAGCCAGGGCCCACTCGTGATTTTTTTTAAATTCTCAGTGAACTAGGAATACAGGGGGGTTTGTCAAGTTTTTAAAGAATATCTCAAAAAAAACATCATGATGAGACACTTCATGGTGAGAAATGAGTAGTTTTCCCACTAAGACCAGGTGCAAGGCAAGGCTGTCGCCTCTCACCACCCCTTTGCAACATCACACCGGAAGTCTAGTGCAGTAAGACAAGAAAAGGAAATTAAAAGTATACAGATTGAAAATGAAGAAACACAACTACCATTTTTTAACATGACATGATTGGGAAATATGAAAAAATTGACCAAACCCCCCCCAAAACAAAACAAAACAAAACAAAAAAGCAACATAATACACATTCTTCTCAAGTGTACATGAACAGGATAGATCATTTTAGGCCATATAATAAGTCATAATAAACTTAAAATATTAAAGTCATGCAAAGTATGTTATCCAACTACACTGCATTTAAATTAGAAATCAATAACAGAAGTAAATGTGGGGACTTCACAAATGTATGAAAATTAAACAACACATTTCTTAATAAAGAAGCCAAAGAAAAAGTAACTAGGAAATTAGTAATTTCAGATGAATGAAAACAAAAACATAATAATCAAATTATGGGATGCAGCTAAGAAATTCTCTTTTTTTAATTTGTTTCATTGCTCAACTATAGTTGTCCCCACTGTTCCCCCGTTACTCTCCCCGGCCCTACCCACCCCCACCTGTTGTCTTTGCCCATGTGTCCTTCACACGTGTTCCCTGACGTGACCTTTCCCCTTCTTTCCCCCATTGTCCCCTCTCCCCTCCCCTCTGGTCACGGTCAGTTTGTTCTTTATTTCCAAGTCTCTGGTTCCATTTTGCTCACTTGTTTGTTTTGTTGATTAGGTTCCAGTTATAGGTGAGATCATATGGTATTTGTCTTTCACCGCCTGACTAGTTCACTTAGCATAATGCTCTCTGGTTCTCAGAGGGAAATGTATAGCAGTAAAAGCCTATATTTAGAAAGAAAAAAAAAGATCTTAAAATAATAACCTAAGCTTCCATCTTAGGAAACTAAAAGATGAAGAGTGAAATAAACCCAAGAAGAATGGATAAAAGCATAAAGGGCAGAGCGGAAGTAAATGAAATAGAGAATAGAAAAACAATAGAGAGAATCAATAAAACCACAGGGTGGTTCTTTGCAAAGATTAACAAAGTTAACAAGCCCTTAGCTAAACCAGCCAAGAGAAAAAGATTTAAATTACTAAAATCAGGATGAAAGAGAGGCTATCACGACAGACCTTACAGTCATAAAAGGGGTTATTATGGGAATATTTTGCACATCTGTATGCGACCAAATTAAATAATCTAAGTGAAGTGGACAAATTCCTAAGAAAGACAAAAATTACCAAAAGTAACTCAGGAAGAAAGAGAAAACAGGGACAGGTTTAAGATAAAAAGATTGAGTTATTAATTTTAAAAACTCCCCACAAAGGGCCCTTTGACTGGGTGGTGCTGCTCAGTGGATTGAGCACCAGCCTGCGAACTGAAAGTTTTCTAGTTTGATTCCCAGTCAGGGCGCATGCCTGCGTTGCGGGCCTGGGGTTCCCAGCTGGGGGCATGTGAGAGGCAGCCGATGGATGTATCCCTCACACGTCAGATGTTTCTCTCCCTCCTTTCCCTGCTCTCTAAAAATAAATAAATAAAGTCTTTAGAAAACAAAACAAAAAATCTCCCCGCAAAGGAAACCCTGGGCCCATCTGGCTTCTCTGGCGAATTCTAAAAGCATTTAAAGGAAAAGCGGTACCAATCGTTACCAACTCTTCAAACCCTAAAAGAGGGAGCTTCTCAACGCACTGCATGAGGCTATTTTACCTGGACGTCAAACCGAGGACATCAGAAGTACAGGCCAACAAACCTTAAAAACACAGGCGCAAAAATACTTAGCACAATACTAGCAAATTGAATCCAGCCACATATAAAAATGATTACATATCACGACCGAGGGGGATTTGTCCCAGGGACGCAAAACTGTGAAATCTGCAAATCCATCAATGTAATGAACCATATCAACAGAGTAAAAAAGCAAAACTACAAGATCGTCTCCGCAGATGCGGAAAGAACATTTGACAAAACTGAATACACTGTCATAATTAGCCAGGGACACTGGCACTGGAGGAGGAGAACTGTGTCACCACCCCTCTAGAAGGCGTCTGGGAAAACCCCACGGCTAAGTGCTGCCTAACGTGAAAGACGGAGTGTGGGCTGTGGGGCGAGGAGACACGTGTGGATCCACGGGGCAGAACTGAGGGCTGAGATGTACCAGCCGCACATCTATGGTCCGCTGATTGTCGACACCTGTTCAAGGCCACTCAGCAGCGGAAAAGGGTCTGCTCAGCACTTGGTGCCGGGACGGCCCGACACCCACATGGGGACGAATGAAGCCGGACCCCCCTGCTTCCCACCGTGTTCAAAACTCAGCTCAAAGTGGATCGGCTCGTTTGGGTCCAGGTCGCGGGCCTACGTGTAAGCGCTCACACTTGGAAACCCTTGGAAGAAAATAGAAG